GAGCCTTCAATATACAGGGTGATTCAAAAGTAAGCGGCATCCTTTCAGGAGCGTTTTCCTTGCATGAAAATAAGGCAAAAAGTTCCCATCAATAAGGGTCCGGAAATGCTTCCTAAGGAAGCTACGCCCTTTGAATAGGACACCTCAAAGACGATTTTTTCTCTATAACTTCAAAATCATTCACAATAAATTTTCGAAATATGGTGTACGGCATAAACATTTAATGGTACAGAAGACTGAATTCGAAATTTCAAAATTTTCTTCAGTGGCGTCACATGCGGAAAAGGGTAAGTGTAAAAACATATCCCTTCTTCTTTTGATATTCAAGTTATTGTGATTTACGCAAATCAGAAAGTTTTCAAAGTCGATTTTCTCCTAAATGGTATGTTCTATCAAAATGATATAAGAGAACTTTTTATACGTGAATACGTGAATTTTATAATTTCCAAACAAAATCACAATAACTTTAATATCAAAAGAAGAAGGGATGTTTTTACACTTACTCTTCCCCGCATATGATGCCACTGAAGAAAATTTTGAAATTTCGTATTCAGTCTTATGTACCATCGAATGTTTATGCCGTACACCATATTTCGAAAATTAATTGTGTAGGATTTCGAAGTTATAGAGAAAAAATCGTCTTTGAGGTGTCATATTCAAAGGGGTGTAGCTCCCTTAGGAAGCATTTTCGGACCCTTATTAATAGGAACTATTTGCCTCATTTTCATGCAAGGAAAACGCTCATGAAAGGATGCCGCTTACTTTTGAATCACCCTGTATAATTCTCAAAGCAATTCTTTCGAGGTTCCTAAACTTGTCTGATCCATCACTAGATTTTGATGTCTGTGAAATGATTGTGGTCAAACATATATGTTTCGCCGCACTTGATATAATTATCTGTCATATTTCAAAGGTTCTAAAGAGGTTCTTTGTCCACATATTTTTTTCCATAAATATTATTACAATCCATTTTGCGATTATGAAGTGTGTATACTCAATCTCTCAGTTTGCCTAATGAATTATTTTGATCCAGGCTGATATAAAGCATTCAAGTCCTTAATGAATCTACAAATTTTTTTATATGCCTCGGGATGAACGAAATTGTAAATATTTATTCTCAAAAATGATTATCTCTTTGAACACTGAATCTTCCATTCGAATTGTACATAGTATTAAGAATAATGCTGAAAATCACCGCTAGGGGTCCAGCTTATCAGCCAGCGTAGATACGCTATTTCATTCCAAATATGTGCATACAGGGCGTGAACAAGTATACGCATAATCGAGTTTCTGTGATGGTTTTTAACAATAGGTATATATATGGAGAAAAAAATATATCGTTGGAATATATCATCTGAAATATTCTGAAAGAAGTTATTCTCCATAGGGTAGATTCTCAGTATATCCAAATGTACAGAGTATTTGGTTCACCAATTTATATTTTAAAAGGAGTGAAAGGTGAGTACATTTTGAACACATTCATCCATATCGTTGCTGTTAAACCACACCGGCGTATTTGCAAAATTACTATTTTTTTCTATTCGATTATTGTTTTGAATCTACTTGATCTTTCTTCTCAGAGCTATTTTTTTTGTGTATAATATTGAGTTCGGTTTTGCTTGTAGCTGCTTCAGTGGCAAATAACAAGTAAATTCTCTGGTAGCAGAAAAACATATGACTTGAAATATGAAAATGAAATATGGGTATAATTTGCAAAAGTGCCTGGATTATCTGTCAATAAGCCACGCACTAACCGAGTCCACGACTGTGCATATCAGAGAAAATACAGTATTGTTTCACTCAAGAATGCTGCAGCAGTTTCCACCACGACATCTCATTCTGGACTGATGCATTGGACTAACCTGTTTACTACTTATAAAGATACTGAATCTCGCCAAAATTCAAAGCGACACAATTAACGCTACCTGACGAATCAAACTATACATAATAATATGCTGATTCGAAAGAGGTGAAAATAGAATATTGTTCAACGAGCACGGAATGATAGTGATTTCCCACGAGAATGAAGTTTGCAGCATGAGCTGTAGGTGAATGCTGCCATCATTCGACTGGTGAATAATCATTCTGTGCAAGTTATACATATAATTTTCCTACGGCATTTTTGATTTCTCCGTCTTGTAGCCATCTGATTTCCTTTCGAGTAATGCTCATCTATTAGACAGCCCAATCAGCACAAGTACGTCTTATGGACGTTTTAAAAACGTCCACTCTGGACATTCAGGACGTTTTGGGGACGTCCATTTCCGGACGACGGACGTCTTATGGACGTTTTGAGGACGTCCATTGTTAATAATCAGGATGTTTTGGGGACGTCCAGTTTAGGTCCAGACTAGGACCTTTTTGGGATGAAAAATGGACGTATTGAGGACATTCAGACAATATTGATTATTGATTTTCTGACCCATCTGAAGAGTGAAATACTTGAATATTAGTTAACATTTATTCGCAAACAATAATATGAACAGAGATTCAGGTAGTTGTATCAATTTCACTCTTCCAAATCGTATATCAGCAGCTGCACCACTAAAAACGTCGATTCATCCAGGTCTTTTTCTGATTGGCAGCCTTCTGTTGTCTTCTTCACTGGATCTGTAAATAATAATAATATTCAATAACATCTTCTGTGAATACCATAAACCATAAACACACACCCACTTTCAACGTGTAGTAGTCAGTATAGCGGAATACTTCATTATTTTTATTTCATTGAGAACTTATTCCATACATAAACTGATTCTTAGGTAGGTACCTATATAACCTCTATCATAGATTAAACCTATGAACCTTGCACGAATTATATTATGTTTTAACTATATACAAAAATATAAACTTTGGTAGATGATGGAAATAGGATTAGGTAGAGCTTTGCATGAGATCAAATTATTTAGAAAGGTATCTAATGTTTTCAACTACAGATTTGATGTTCTTACTCAAGCATCTTCATGCGAATGAAAATAAAACGATAGCGTCGATAGCCATACTTGCCTTCGAATAAACATCTCGATGGAACTCGAGATCGAAGTTCACCAGTTGATAAATGATATCCGCAAAGATTTCACTTAATCACTGCTTTTAAAGTCTAATAACCCGAAAAGTTCAGAATGTCCTTGGACCTGAATCACAGTTTAATCGGCACTCGGCAGTGGTCAACTGACGGACGCCATCTTCCTACGATTTCGTTTCACAGTTTCACACGTAACACGCACAGTGTTGCCGGATGAAAATTTGTCGGAGCAGTAGATGGGTGGGGAAAAAACAGTATATCATCAAAACTGAACAGAAGATTTAGATAATCATCACAATTGCTATCATAAATGAAAAAACATAGTCACCTATATAATAAACGAAAAAAAAAAATCATGTTCGGTCTCTATACCTATCAAAAATCGAACGAAGAATAACGAAAAATAATGAAATACAAAATAAAATTTGTGAAAACCGCAACCAGATTGGAAATAAAAGCTAATTTTCACTAATCAGACTGAATATGATAGTTGCAGTATATTTTTATCATACATCTTCTTACTGTGATGTCCCATTAATTTTTCATTGTTGCATATTAGGTAGTTACATCATATCAAAACTTGACCAATCAGACCATTGCCTTGAATAGTTGAACAGTAGAACGGAGACAAAAACAGTAGATCTACTGCTAAAATAGTAAGTCTGGCAACGCTGAGCACGCATGCGTTCTACGGTTGCTTTACATATCAAGTGATTCAATCAAATCTTATTATGAAAGCGCGGCTTGTATGAATACTTCAGTGTGGGTTTAAGAATGGTCAAACATGGTCAAACTGTATAGGTATTATGTGATTGAAGGAATATGATTCAACATAACTATATAAGTTGGTACAAATCAGTTGAAATCATAAATATTTCAAATTCATAATATTAATAATGAAATGAAATTCAATATATTGATACAGCTGATATATAATATATTTTTTGACATTATTCATGTCCATATTCCATTCAATAATTCTAATTTCAAAATTTATATATACCTACCCACTTATATCAATTTAAAAACTGATATACCGTGAGAGTCTGTAAATTGGACGTTTTAAAGACGTCTTTTTCTGGACGTCCGGAGTATGTCCAATAATGGACGTCTTAAAAACGTCCATAAAAGGTCCTGGACGTTCAGACCAAAAATGGACCTAAAATGGACGTCTTCGGGACGTCCCGTGCTATCTGGGAGATCTGTCATTTACTGGAATTTTACATTCCATGAGCGATGAAATTATTTTGAAATGATAACATAATGGAGTCATTCTGATATCAGATACGGAAATAAAATTGATGACATACAAAGTACCTCATTGATGTATCGAACAAAGTAAATCAAGAGCAATTTTTTGTTATACCCGTGAAAAAAATATTTTTTTTCATACTAATAATTCAAAAATGCCTCTTGTGCAAATATACCGGTCCAATTTTACAGCAACGATAATATATACCTATACTATCATGAAATGTGTTACGGATTTGGAGATATCATCGTTTCTTCAACATTTTATTTGATTTTATCTCTTTTTTGTCAGAAAGGTTGGATCGTATTACATCGATATTGAATATTGAATGTGATACAGAATGTTGTGGCCCGTGTAAAAAACGATTTCTTGTAACATCCATTTCAAATTTATGAGCTTTATTCTCTCGTGAAGTGTAATACTTACTATAATATATGGTTGAATATGTTCAAAATCCCATAAACAACCACTTCCTCCCAGATATATGGCGGTAAACCAAACACCATGTATAATACTTTGTAATAATCTTTTGGAAGGTTTCTAGATAATTCCTATAACAGTTGTGATCTGGGCCGATTGGTTCCAATCTGTAAATTACGAAATGTACGTTCAAAAAATGAATTCGATCTGACCAAGTTTTGTTTGTTACTGTCGAAGATGAATAATTTGTTTCGTGCCCTATATCTTCATCATTTAACACACTGTATATTTGATGTTTCACAGAATATTGGCCAACGATCCTACGAATCTACAGTTCGTGGCTGACCTACGGTGGAAAAAGGATGGGGATCTCTATGTGATCAGTTCCAGATTCCACAAATTCTTCAAAAGGACCGTCACACCGAACGAAATCAATATGAGGATTTTCAAGCTGACGCCAAAGCGAAATAACTTACCAAATCTGCCCAACAGCATCAACGATAACAACTATTATTCGCAAACTGGAATAAGAAATCTGAATAACAATAACAACTACTATCCACAAACAGGGCTACGGAATCTGAACAACAACTACTTTCCAGAAACAGGAGTACCTAATCTAAACAACAATCAATACTATTACTATTAAATCAAATCAATCTATTGATTATGCAGGCTGTTTCGAATTCGATCCTCACCATTGGGATCTATGAAACTATACGAGATTCGAGGATGGTTGAATCGAGGCAAAGTTGCGTATTTACCTAACTAACAATATTTTGTTCAGAGAGTTTCGGTATTCAAAGTATGTCCGAAGATATCCGGAAAAAACAAGATTTTGTAAGTTTTATCATTTATTGTAGGATTCCAATATGAACTGCACTTCGGCATTGCCATTTTCCTATTCTACTTGATCTGAACTGCCAACTAACGATTCGTCTTCTGGCACCATCATCAACTTTATTTTTTCCTATAGGTGCCATATTTTATTTTATCTGTTTTGAGTAGAACCCTTTTCAATGGTGTATCACAAGTGGTCAGCCTTTGTAAAAAAATCGGCGAAATAATAATAAACAAATTATAATAGAAGGCCTTGAGTTTGATGTTTCACTTTCAATCTGTCACAGTTATCGGTTATTTTGTATGTCACTGTATTCCTGGCGGAAATGGCATTCACGAGTGAACATAAAGACATATAATGGAGATGCATCACAAATGAGAACTTCGAACGAACAAAAATGAACTAGAATGTAAATGGTTTCCACACAAAATTGTTAGAGAATTCGAAAGATTGAGGAGGGGAGGAATTAATCGTGCAGTGAATAATATTCGCAAAAATACAGAGTTATGTTATCATAAACAAGAACAGCATTTTGAGCATCTGATGTGATCAACTCTTGCCTTCACATTTTAGATTATTATTTTTGTTCGTTCGCGGTTCATTCTAGTTGTAGGAGTTCGATATACAGTGTGACCCACTTCTAATGGACACACCCCTGTATCTTACGTAATCGTTGGGAAAGGATCCTGAAATTTGCTAGAGCGAGAGATATACCAAAAATGCACTATATGACCAAGTGGGGTCATCTTCAGTAATATACACAGCTCTATAACAGCCATGGTACCGCCCCAATTTCCGGAAAATGATATTAGGAGTCGAAATCAGTTGAAAATCACCTCGGTTTAGGAATCATCACGCCCAATTTACTAACTATTCGTAGTTCTCCTAAGACATTTTCAGTTCGAGAAAATTGAATTTTCACGTAATTATTGTGTTAGGGTTCTAAAATTTACAGGAGGAAGGGCAAGTCCAAGGATAAAGTCAATTGAGTAAGATACGGGGGTGCTTCCGTGAAAAGTGCGACAAAATTTAATTTTTCAGAACTGAAAATTTTCCAGGAAAAATATGAATAGTTAGTGAATTGGGCGTCCTGATTCCGAATCTGAAATGATTTTCGACCTATTTTGACTCCTAATATGATTTTTCGGAAATTGGGGTGGTTTCATGGCTGTTGGCGAACAGTGTATATCACTGAAGATGACCCCACTTGGTCATATAGTGGATTTTTGGTATTTTTCTGGCTCCAGCAAATTTCAGGATCCCTACCCAACGATTAAGTAAGATACAGGGGTGTTTCCATTAGAAGTGGGTCACACTGTATATTTCAGATGTCAGAACACTGTTCCTAATGTACTTACGTGTTGAATTCTCATCATACTTCTTTTTTTTTTCACGAAACAGCAATTTCCGCCAAAAATATACTGACCTGAAAAATTTTCGAATGTCATTGAGTATGACCCAGATTAATACTGAAACCTCAAACTCAAAGCCTCTTTTGATAATTTGTCAAGAAAATAATAACTTCTATTCAAACCAGGAAAAATCCAACATGGCGCCCATTGAAAAAAAAAATTAATGATGGTGGCTGGAAGCCAATTTGCAAGCACCACCAAGTATCAAAGGGAAAATGACAATGCAAAAGTGCAATTCATTTCGACATCCTACAATAAATGGAGCCAGATAAAAATGAAATGAATTTGACAAAATTTCGGTATTTTACGGATATCTCCGGGAATACTTGGAATTTTGAAACTCTCTATATAAACGGCAAATATTGTTAGTAAGGTCAATGCGCAACTTTGCCTTGATTCAACCATCTTCGTATTTCTTATAATTTCCGAGATCCCAATGGCGAGGGTTAACTGAGGTTGAAATATACTTTGAGAAGCCGTATGTGAAGATGTATAGTTAACAAGTAGTTTTCAACATAATTTCATGTGAAATATACAACATATTATATGATCAAATCATTCCATAGTTGATATTTTAGCACGACTCATTATTTTTTGTAATCGCATGATCAGAATGTAGGAAGTTCAAATGTTTACAATGCTTTGCATATATTCCAAAAGGGAAAGATTATGATTTCTGTTATGAATTGTTTCAATTAGAAAATGAATATTTACATGAATTTATGGAAATATATTTGGCCGTTCTTTATCAATATATTCATTCTTTACCGCAGATCCATTTCGTGGGATAGATAAATGCGCCATTCAATGAGGCCAATTATACAATATGCTTCAGATTGAAGTCTACATAGAAAACCTGTAGATAGAGAAAGAACACTTTATTGCTGAATGCCTTTTATAACCGAGTCTCAGGATCTTATCTTGATTTTGGCAAAACATTCATCTGGTTATGACGTTTCAACCAATTTATAAATAATATATTCGTACTTGGTAAGTAGTTTGATAACATCAAGATTTTGACTTAGAGAAAACAATTTCCGAATATTCATTCTTGAACTCCCAACCTTGATATTTGATAATCAATAATTATCGTTGGAGAATGATATTCTACTTGTGCATTATGATCGCTTCTATCTACAACTTTCGTGTCATTCATGCATTACTAACTTGATTTCCAACAAGTGATGACAGACATTTTCTTGATCAATCGAGTAGTAAGAGTATCTAATGATGTCAGTGAGATAGAGTAATAATATCACATCCCATCGTTTCGTCGAGTTAAAAAACTTCGAAAGACTCACCTTATGGTTTTAATAGTTTTAACCACCATTCCACAAATACTTGCAAGAGATAATGAGAATCCACTGTTTTTCAATCTCAACAGTGACTACCATGAGTGATCATAACATTTGACTTCACACTTGACAGTTGTAGATTGTAGTACGTAGAAATTCATTCTTTGCTCACACACGTGCCGGCGATTCGAATGGATGAAAACAGACCAATCAGAACTATTGAACCTCATTGTTGATCGGATAGTTGAGCAGCCATCAATCCATTCTGCAATTAGAATATAATGAAAACTCTTCAAGTCGTCTCCACAACGTTCAATTTCAAATTGAAGAAGGAAGGGGCATGTTTCAGACCGAAACGGTATCCATCATCAGCCAGAAAGAACAACGAAATAATAAGTTGGTATATCAAGTAAAACAAATTGCTACTTACGTAGAGAAGAAAAAGGCAAAAACATGATTATAATGGGCATGATGAAACGGTTAATAAAACATGTTTAGAATTTCAAATTATTTCAAACTCTAGACATGTTTCATCAACCGTTTTACCATGCTCATCATAACCATGTTTTTGCCTTTCTACTCTCCACGTACCAATTTGTTTAACTTGATATACCTACTCATTGTTTCGTTGTTCTTTGTAGAATAATTTCTTTCTGGCTGATGATGGATACCGTTTGGGTCCGAAACATGTCCCCCCTTTCTTGACTTTGGAATTAAACATTTTGGAGACGACTTGGAGAGTTTTCATTATATTTTAACTACCTCACTCCATTTTGAGATAACATGGACTTCTACAGTAGATTAGTCTGCAATTATTCGTTTTGACGCGGACATTTATGTCCTCTCAAATGAAAAATCTGTAATAATATGATTCATTTCAATGGCATATTGCCGAACGAGTTATTGATTATTTCAATAAGTATTCTGAATCAGATTTAGTGATTTTGCAATTCAACCTTCCTTATTCTGGAAGATATATTTCTCGACCTTCAAAATTGCTTCGATATTTTGATATTTGGATTGTTTTTATAGTATTCTACTTGCTCATGATGACTATTACCCACCCAGATGTTTGAAGTTCTCGCCTCTGGCTCTCACTCGTTGAATTATTTACTATCCACTCAAATAATCACAAAACTCACCATTCCGTAATTGGTTCGTTTGAGGCATAATTATTATTCTCCTTTTCATGTTCATCATCCATATCTCGAATTCGAATCATTAAACATGAAAGTTTTCGAGAGGGAGTCAAGCATTCAACTGAGAACGTCAATTGAACGTGATGGCTTTGCTCACTAAACGATAACTATTGTTATCATAACAGGAAATAATCTTTGGTAGAAATCCATGGTTTCTCAATGTGGAGTAAAGTAGTGAATGCTAAAAAATACTCGGAATCATCCCCACGACATTTGAATATCATCGAACGATCTAATCAATTGATACATGTACCGGACATATATATGCCCTTCCTCAGCCTGATCAAAATTGCTATTTTAATTTCAATTCATCATAACTATGATGTAATCAAACTTTTTTCATTCCCACGACACAACTAATGTAGCAATTTTGATCAGGCTGAGGATGGACATATCTATGTCCGAAACATGTACCAAATAATTTGATCGTTTGATCATATCATAATGAGGTGGAGATGATTTCGACTATTATTTAGTAGTTATGACAGGAAATGATTGGGACAGTCGTTGTTTAGCTATCGATTAGGTACTGATTAGAATCTATCTTCAAGTCAACCATGGCCGGAGTTACCTATTCGAAATAGAGTGTTTATTTTATTATTGTAATCAAAGGACGCCTTTGACACCACCTGAAAAGATTGACTAATACGTAAGTATATCCATAACTTTATCATTATTGTAGACGTAGACTGTCTGTCCCACGTCTGTCCCCATTTTTACCCTGTCTGTATTGCTTTGTTTGATTGGACTTATATTCTGTTGAGTTCAACCCAATCTCTCATGAAGCTCCCAAGCAAATAAAACTTTTATTCACTTGTAAGAATTTTCTCAACTGAAATTCTACCCCTGAAGCTTGATGCTTTGATTATCCAGAGTCCGAGCATCCGCCAATTCTTATAGTGGTGTAATAAGTGCATTCGCCATAATATGTATAAATGATCAGTTTGGTACCTCCGCCAAATCGGGAATGTCTGAGAACCCACGATTCCGTTTTGCCCAAGCTTACGCCAGCGACCAATCAGAACCTTCTTAGCTGACATTAAACTGCAAACAATGAACGACAGAAGGGGTCGAAAAATAAAATAAATCATAAAAAAGTACCAATTAATTTTTCGTTTACAATCAACAGTTTCTGAGATACAGTGAATGAACATATCGAGAAGAATCAAAATTAAGTTTAATAGTATGAAATTCAAGTCTACTGTCCCACTTATTTCCG